CCTCCCCTCTGCTGATTATATATATATATTTAAAATATATATTATTTATATATACACAACAACTATATCTGTATGTATGTATATATTTAATTATATTAATGTTTATGTGCATCGTTGCATTGGTATATTGCTTTGTGCGTTACCTGTTGTTTTGTCTATACAGCACTTTGGTTGGCCTTGTCGCTGTTTTAAATGCTCTATAAATAAATTGGTATGGTATGTGTGTCATTTTTCACCACTTTTATTGTCTGTCCAAACAGGTCTCACTTGTAAATGAGTCTTTGAAGTTCAATGTGACTTATCTGTTTAAATAAAGGTTCAGTGAATATGTATCAACAAATATAAAGTTATTTTGGTTCTTTGTGAAACAAAAATGTTAGTGTTTCAAAAAAAAAATCTACAGTCGCTACAAAAAGCAGTTTGTGATGGAATTTTTACATGACCCTTTATGTACATTATATATATGTATATATGTAAATAAAAAAGGAGAAAAAGCCACAGGCAAAGCAGAATGTTCAAAACAGAAACAAGATCATCCATTTTGGTTGTGTGTTCTTGTAGTGAACTTAATCTGGTGTCACGACTAAGCCTAAGGTCAAAATCCTTGACCTTAAGAACCTTGTGGGACAGAAACTGTCATTTTATTGATTTGAATCCAGAAATACAGGTTCACCCATCCTGAGACTTTCTTTCTTGAAGATTCAAGTGAAAAGAACACTCTCTTTTTTATTATCATTACTATTTTACAAATGTTGATAATCAAAGTGTCTTAGTTCAAACCATTTTAGATGTTGCAGTGAACTAATCAATTTTATTAACTGTGTAATGATTTTTTATTCTCATGCAAAGTTAGAACTCATGTTAAAGCTGTTACAGAGTAATTATGCATTTTCTGATTTTCTGTCTTTGAATGAGCAAGTGTAAGTTGGTCCAAGGTTGGAGTCAAACGCAAAACAAGTTGTTGGAACGAACTGTCATGTTTTTAGAATCCTCTCAGACGTAAATATAGAGGTTTGGGCACCTGTTTCTGAAACGCGCCAAAACAAAACTCTCTCTGTCTGTGAGAACATTTCTGATCTGTCCCATAACAATTCTTGCTGTCTTCTAACCTTTTACGTCACAAAACACACCCCGTCTGGTCGGTTCTGGCCAATGGGAATACTCCCAGATGGACTGGAAAAAGAGCTCTTTAAAATGTCGGTACTTCCTGGTCTACTCAGATCTGTAAACTACTCAGTTCTGCTGGAGTTCTGTGAGGGTTCCACTCGGTTCGGTTGAGTTCAGTTCTGTTCAGTTCTGTGCGGAGAAGCCCAGTTGCGGGAGACGGGAAGATCCTGACATGACAACAGAGCTCTTCCGAGTCATGGGAATATAACACTTTCCACTCGCCACTACTTCTGACGAGCTACAGCCATCCTAAGGAGACGCTGGACAGGTAGCGTTAACGGAACTCCATATCTGCTGATTAATCTCAGAAAGGTAATGAGTCAAGTTTCCTACCAAGCGTACCGAGGTGAGCTGGGTTCTGATGGAGAGTGTCGGTTCTGGTGAACACTTCCCCTCACATACCATCTTTACTCCCTTTAACTTCTTTCCCATCTTTAAACTTTTCTCTCAAGTAGAAATTCTTCCAGATATTTTAGAAATGTCTGTGTAAAGTGCTCATCCACATCCGTGTGGGTAAAAGATCATAATTGTACAGTTTTCATAAATGTCTGTGGTGAAGCAACGGAAAAATCATGGCCGTATGATTTTTCCTGATTGATTGCTTATGTTGTTATTTTCATAATTTGCCAAATTAATGTAAATGTTTGATGTTAAACTTTGATTCTGTAAATAAATGACCGCATTCATTTTGATGGGTCAAATATAAATGACGTCTCACGTTTGCATTTCATTAAATTCAATGCACGTTTTATTCAGTTCAGAAAAATGAGGAATCCGCGTTAATTGATGAATATATCTGAGCATCTGTTCATCTACATTCTTTTCCAGCTTTTCTTCTTCTAATACGTGTTAGTGGTGGTTAGTAAAGAGCTTAATGTAGCACTAGCACCACCAGCTGGTAAGGTGCATTGATATTAATGATCCGCCCACTAAAGGTTAACTATACGCCCACTGAAGGGGAACTATGGGCACTGTGGAGACAGAAATAAACCGGTCCCACCGGAACCGGCCTAAATAAGGCCCAATAGGGAATCAGACCTGTGGATAAGGGGCTCAAGAGACCTGATTCACCGGGAGACCGGGTTCTACCGGGAGACCGGGTTCTTCTCTGCTTTCAGGAAGGCCCAGTTAGGATATCCACACTGCTCTAGAGCAAGGGTGTCAAACTCACAAAAGGGGGCCAAAATTAAAACCTTTTTCAAACTAAGGGCCAATTTCAGAAATTACATAAACTCAAATCAAATACCCAACATCTTTTCTTGATCATAGGTTTTTCAACAAGAGTTTGATTGGTCTCATTTAATGTTCTCCATTGTGCTTTCAACATAATAATCAAAGATTACTGAAATAAATTAAGAGATACAAGTATTTTACAGTTCACCTATCATCTTGGGGGCCAGATAAGATGTCAACGAGGGCCGCATTTGGCCCCCGGGCCAGTTTGACACATATGCTCTAGAGCATGTCTTGTGTAGGATTTCTCCTTCTGCCTGGCTCCTGAGCTAGTGGGGATGCTGTCTGCTCTGTGGTACAGAGTCCTG